CATTTGAGGATTGGCTAATTTGACTAATTCCAGCAGGTCCTGGGCTATAGGGGTGGACCCTAGTTGGCCAATACCTGGCCCTGGGCTGATGCACGGCAGGGAGAATATTGGCTTGGTAAGTGAGAGTTAGATAAAAGAGAAGGCTGAAGGGGTTGGTTGGCTTGCGTATGAAAGGCTTGGTCACAAGCAAGTCTTTACTCTCTCTAGGAATTAGCCTTCAGAGAGGGAGGCCCTCCAGGGTGAGCGAGGCCCCAAGACGCCAAAGCATCATAAACTACAGAAAATAAAAACCGTGATGAATACAGCGGGTCTCTATCCTGATCAATTTGTCTAGCTTGTGCACATAGAAGAATGCCTTCATTACCATAGCAACCCCTCTCACCTTGTTGTTTTAAAATGGTCTTTATTTCTAACTTGTTCCTTTGTTCTTCCAAATACACTTTAGAATGAGCTTATCAAGTTCCATAAAAAATTCAGATTTTGCTTTACATTGAAATTTTGTTGACTATAAATTAATTTGGAAAATGCTGAATCTTTACTCTGAGTCTTCCTGCTGATGAACATGTTACATCTTTACATTTATTGAAATTTTCTTTAATGTCCTTCAGTAAGATTTTATTATTTTCTCAATAAAGGCATGCTTATCTTTTGTTAGCTTTATTACTAGGTAGGCTTTTAATTTTTGTTGCCAAATTTTGTTGGAAGTAGTATCTTTTGAAAAATATGTTTTAAGTGGTTTGTTGCTAGTGTATAGAAATGCAGCTGATTTTTCTCAATAACTTTTGTCTTATAACAATGAACTCTTAGCAATTATGATTTTTCTGCAGACTCTTTTTAGTCTAATTTGTATACCTTTAATTTCTTTTTGTTTACCTGCGCCTGCTAAAACCTTTTGATTACAATATTATGTGAGTGATAATAGTAGGAATACTTTCCTTGGCTCTGATTTTAAAGAAAATGCTTTTAACATTTTACCTTTGAGTGTGATTTTTGGTGTAGGTGTCCGGAGACACCTTGTATCAAGTTAAAGAAGTTCCCATTCTATTCCTGGTTTGCTAGATTTTTTAAGCAGGAATGGAGATGATCATAAAGGTTGTAACCTTTCTTTTGTTAATGTAATGCAGATTATTTTAAAAGGTTTTTAATTAATTTGAAATAATTATTTAGGTTAAAAGAACACAATGTTTTAGAGTTTTATTAAATCAAGGTTGAGGTAAAAACAGTAGAGTGGAATTATTGTAAGATCTTTTATTAACTTAATCACTTTTAGTCAATAAAGGGATTTGGGGTTGACTCAATATTAAAGAACTCTGAATCAAGGGATTTTTTTCTGCCTGTAAGGAGGTCATAACTGCCAGTTTGTCAAGTCATTTGTAAAAATGTCTGGTTCTACATCTAGGCCTTTTAAAAAAAAATGCATTAGTGAAGGAGAGTGATTGAAAAATGTAACACATTTCAGTTTAAAGAGAGTTTCATCCTCACCCCAAGGAGCGCCACTGCCTCCCGACTCCCCAAACTCCAACAGAAAGCAGTCCTGGAAGAACAAGAGAAAGGAAGGTTGGGGACCTCCGCACTCAGCACCCCTTCTTTGGTTGCCCATAATTGCAGGTGCCAGCCTATGACATTTCAGGCTAGGTTTGGGTCTACACTGTAGAATACACATTTTGCGGAAATGCAAACAAACTTGTATTTCTTTATGGACAAATATTAATCATTTTAGTCAAAGTAGATCATTTTTCAAAAACCAAATACATTTTTGACGAGTAATGATTTAATGAGAATACAAGATGGTTATTGTTCTTTCTGGCTCTGAATATTAGCCCTGTGTTTTGTAGTTAATTATAATACATCATGACACAATATCTCATGTGCAACCCATGCTCAGATTCAATATGCTATACATAGAGAGGCAGTAAGAATTAGCACAAAATAGTCTACCTGGAAAAATCTTAAAAAGCCAATTCATCTCAAATATTCAAGAAGAATCTGATGCCTGTAAGTGTTAAGCACTTGTAACATGATCTGATAATTTACTAATTAATAAAAACAGTAATATTTAACATATTTTCAATGATGAATTCTCCCAATAGAAATATTATAAAACATAGGCATTGGAACCAGAATATCTGGGCTTAAATTATAGTTATGCCTTTTACCATTGCATAACCTGGGACAAATACTTTAGTTCTGTGAGCCTCTCTCTCCCCATCTGTAAAATGGGGACTGTAATGGTTAACTCCTAGAGTCGTTAAAATATTAAATAAATTGAGGCGTGTTGAATGTCCAAGATAATAAACATTCACCACTTGGTATTTCCACTTCCCTTCTAGCAAAGCAGCACTATCATTCTGCCTGGGTTGACACCTGACTCCACCATCTCAACCGCTGTGTGATCCTGGGCAAGCTGCTTAAACTCTCCGTGCCTCAGTTTTCTCATCTATAAAATGGGCATATAGAAACATCTTCCTTACAGGGTGGTTACTGAGGATTAAATTACTTTATTCATGTTAAAGGTTTAAAACACTGCCTAACACACAGGAAATGTGATAAACATGTTGGCTGGTATTGTAACAAGACGCTCCTGCCTTATTATATTGGCATGTCTCGGAATTATGACATTCCTAACTACAGCTGTGATCAGTGATACGTGGACGGGTGCGCTTTGCTGGCTTGAATGCCAGGGGTGCCATGAAGTGGGCAGGGACGCAGAGGCCACACAGTCCCCAAACAGCCATCTTTGCAGAGTCTGGCTCTGGGCATAGGGAGAAAGGAGGGAAGACGCTACATTTCCCGGGCGCTGCTTAACATGACTAAGCCACGGCTTTAGTGAACACTAATGTTTTTAGGTTCCATTGTAAATGGTGTCTATAGTGAAAACCATCTTATAACAGCATTACAAGAATGTTCTAAAAGTGGAAAACTGAGCTACAAATATGCCACCTGATGCAAAAGCTGATTTGATTTTCTTACTTCCCTCTAGTTTTTGTGTGTATACAGTATGCACTCGCGCAGTTGCCGCCACTGGGTACATACAATCCTATACTCTGTTTACTGTGTTTATCATTAATCAATATCCCTTTTCCCTGTCATATAGTCTTTCTAATAATTATTATATTTATTGATGGCCACAGTTAAGTTGATAGGCCAGAATTTCCTTTTTTAAAATTAAAATGTTCACCTTTTTCATACTGTAGAACTCTATATTTAAATGACTTTAAAGACAATAAATTATAAAAGGAAAGGAAAGGAAATCAAAGACCCAAACGTCCTTATGGCGGGAGGAAAGATGGGGAGAGTGTATTGGACTGGCTAAGAGCTGCGAAATCCTGTCATTTGATTTTGCAACAGGCTTCTACCCCAAATGCTTTATTTAACATATCTATTTTTAAATTGAAGAGAATTAAAAAAGAAGTTGCATGTGATGGGTACTTGGAGGTCCATTACACCAAGTACTGTATATGTTTGAAACTTTCTGTACTTAGAAAAATTAAAAGAAAGAAAGTGCTGACAAAATGTTTTCCAACACCTTTGGAAACAGTTTGAATTGTCTCTTGGTGAGCAGGCCCCCTAGACATGCTCAGGGGTTCTGGGTCCCTGGGAAGGGGGACAGACGCCAACTTCCCAGTGGCCCTCCGGGATAGATATCGTGGCTTGATTAAAGGGAAATAAAGTAGAGGACGTGCGTATTAGGGCTGAAGAAATATAAAGTAGGCAACTGAGCTGAGTGAATGAGAATTGTAGAGAAGACTCCTTGCAGGAGAGAAATTCTTTTTAGAAACTGAAGGATAATACTGTGTGACCTTAGGCCAGTGACTTAAAGCTTCCTGCGCCTCTAGACTTGCCAGCTCCCAAATGGAGCAATGACAGTGCCCACCAGAGGAGGGTAGGGTGGGCCGGGAGGCCCTGGTGAGTTAATGGGCTAATGGGGCCTGGCACTCAGTAAATGGCAGGTAACAGCACCATCTGACATCACATCTTCACACCCTTGCCCGTCGCAGACACTTGAGAAAGACAAGGCGATCAAGGAAAGCCAGCAACACAAAATTAACAATCATCACGATCATAATCATTGTTGCTAAGTGCTTTCATTAAGTGCTTACTGTATATCAGGCAATGTGTTAATCATTTTGCATAGAGTAAGCCGCTTAATTTACCACTTTATTTCACAGAGAGGAAGCAAAGGCAGGGAGAGCTATGCATTTTTACTTTGCAAAAATAACAACGCGAAAGAACTTTTGGAAAGAGAAAAGAAAACATGACCGTCCCTACTTCTCCCCGCCGCCCCTTTCGTTTCCTAAATTATTTTCTTGCCCTTGTTCAGAGCCAACTTGTTTTTTAAAAATAACTTTATTCTTTGTTTAAAAATGACGCATGCTCATAAAAAAAGCTCCAAGCAATAAAAGTACAGATAAAAGCACAAAATAGGAAGAAGATATTTGAGAACAGAATGCTGCTTGTGTCATGTGACCTTTGTCACTGGCACGTCTATTGTTCATGCATGAGTCACTGATGTAAAATATTACTCTGTGGAAATGGGAGGTTTCTGCTAATACTGAATAAAGGCTAACTTAAAGTTCGTGTTATGAAGTATGAAACTATCTGATGTACCAAAAACTTTATCAGTCCTCAGATTACAAGATTCTTTTAAAAGATGTTGATTTTTTAAAATCCTCAGTGAGGATATATTTTTATTGATTTGGGAGAGAGAGGAAGGGAGAGAGAGAAACATCAATCGGTTGCCTCCCGTAGGCTCCTGGCCCAGGGATGGAACCTGCAACCTAGGAACGTGCCCTGACCAGGAATCAAACCCGCAACCTTCTGGTGCACAGGATGAAGCTCCAAACAACTGAGCCACCCGACCAGGACACAATTTTTTTCTACAAAAAAAAAATTAAGGTCCTTTGTACAACACATTAGAAACTATGAGGGCTCTTCTTGATAACTTGACATTATCTTTTTGATAAATAAGCTCTTCTTGATACTTTCTTTCTGTTCATTAGAGACCCAAGGCTTCTACCACTAAACCAAAAGCCCGAAATATCTACTGTCAGGATCATAAGCATGCTGAGAAAATAAGGTAATAACTTTTCTTAGCATCCGAGGAGATATTACTGACTTATGTAACTCCTGAAAAAAATTATTATTCAGATTTTTGTGGAGGGTTTGAGTCTGAAAAGGAATCTGTTGAGCAAGAAGGAAGGTTCGTCATATCTCATTTCAAAGCTAAAAGGGCCTTACATAACCTCGAGTTCACCGCTGAAGTGTAGAGGCCGGAGAGGCTGAGGGGGAGCCAAAAGTCACGGTGAACTGAGACCAGAGCCCAAGGCTCTTGATTTGTAGACCTTTGTTCTTTGTGTCTTGGAAAATGGGGAGAGAAGAAGAAAAAAAAAGAGCAGGGAGTTGAAATAAAAGCTCAAGACTGGCCATTTCATTAGAAAGTAAAGCTTTCTGGAAAGTTTCCGAACTTCTGAATAAACTTCAGCCAATTTCCAGGATTAAACTAGTGGAAACCGAAGACTCTCTAAAAGATTTCAGAAAGGATCCTCTTGCTCTTTTAAATGCAAAATAAGCAGCATATTTCTAAAGAATTTCCGGTCTCCACCCTGAAAGGCTGCGTTTAGACCTGTGAAGGAAGAAAGGACAGGGCCTGTGTACTGATGTCCCCCATCCCGCTCTTACCGATCCCCAGTAGAGACCAGGGGATCGGCAAGTCCCCGAGCCAGGCCTTGTGCCAGCACTGATAGACATTTCACATGTGGGTGATAAAGAAATGCTCGGTGGGACATTAGAGATCTCCCATCCTAGTGGTACCCTGCTAACATCACTTGTTAAAATTGGCGTAGGTTTTCAATGAGAGAGGCCTGCTCCCTAAAGCCCCATGAGGGGTGCTCCCTTGAGCCCCAAGGCCACACACGTTCAGGGGGTGCTCGGTTCGTCACTGTACACAACCCTAAGAGCCACTAATGTTTTCACAGGTGGGCCTCAGGAGCACCATACACCAGATCCAAAAGATGGAGTAACACCAACGAAAAAGACTACTGCACAATAAACTGGAGCGTTGGGAGCAACAAGCTAGAAATGTTTCCAGTGGGCTTGAAGCTTGCTGTGTTTGGCATCTTCATCATTGTGATATTTGTCTACATAACCGTGGAAAATAAGCGGCTCTTTGGTTAAGTGTGTTAGGAGCAGAGCAATGATTGCTTCAAGCCCTCCAGCTTCAGGAAAGAATAGGACTGCTCAAGGGGAGGGCCAGCCCCGCAGCAGGTAGTCTTCCCTTGCACGGTGCAGCTCTCATGGCCCTGTACCCAGGCTCAGCCTGGCAGAAGGAACAAGGGGGAGAACCAAGGCGTTGTGTCAAAGAGAATTCCATGAGGCATGCCGGCCATCATTAAAGGTGCTTCTACGCTGAAGTGCACTTGGAAAGGAAACTGAGCCAGCATTTTTCTTTTTCATGATGGTAACAAGCCATTGATTACATGCACCTCCCTCTATTCACTCTTCAAATTGTCTAGCCAACTATGGGAAAGGCCACAATAGGTAATTAACAACAACAAAAAAGTGTACCTGGTTTGGCAAACACAAGCAAATATCCAACATCATCCAAAAACAATTTAGAAAGTGGTAGCACTTTCACCATTGAAACTTAGCAAGGTTTGAAAAACTTAAGGCCTGATGAGGGAGTGATCATGGCCTCTGGGACCAGGCAGAGCTGGGTAGGCACCTGGCTCCTCTGTATATTGACTCTGTGACCTTGGATGAGTTAATTGTCTTCTCTGAGCTTGTTTTAGCTTCTGAGACTAGAGATAACATAGGCTTCTTAGGGTGACGAAGAAGTTAAAGAAATAATGCATATAGTGTAGTCCACATCTGACTGGCTAGATAAATGCTTAAGTAGTGTTACACTTTAGCACAATATTTTTACTTCTGGGAGAAACTGATTCTAGATAAAGAGAACTCTTAAGCACAAAGAATTTGACTAGCAATTTTATGGCAGCCAAAATGTAGAACCAACCCAAATATCGAACAACAGGAGAATAGTTTAATAAATTGATGTAAAGCCTCTTGATAGATGATTATACAATAATAAAAAATGTTAACAATGAATTTATCATAGCATATGCTTATTTAAAATTTTTCATAACAGCTTCATTGGGATATAATTCACATGCCATACAATTCACCCATTTAAGGTGTATAATTCAATAATTTTTAGTGTTTGTAGAGTAGTACAACCATCACCAAAATCAATTTTAGAATATTTTTATCACCCCTAAAATGCTGTTTTAAAGTGATAAACAGCCCTGGCCAGTTTGGCCGGTTTGCTCAGTGGTTAGAGCGCAGGCCCTCAGACCCAAGGGTCATGGGTTTGATTCCCGGTCAAGGGCACGTACCTGGATTGCAGGTTCTCTCCACCCCATCTGGGTCTTGTGCAGGAGTCAACCAATTGATGTGTCTCTCTCACATCCATGTTTCTCTCTCTCTCTCTCCCCTTCCTTCCCTCCCTTCTACTCTCTCTCTGAAAAGCAATGGAAAAAATATCCTCCAGTGAGGATTAACAAAAATAAACAAACAAACAAATAAATAAATAAAATATATTTATTTTTTCTTCTTCAAGAAGACACTAAATTTCATATAATACTGGTTTGCTGGTGGTGAACTCCTTTAGCTTTTTCTTGTCTGGGAAACTATCTGTCCTTCGATTCTAAACGATAGCTTTTCTGGGTAGAGCAATCTTGGTTGTAGGTCCTTATTTTTCATTACTTTGAATATTTCTTGCCACTCCCTTCTGTCCTGCAAAGTTTCTGTTGAGAAATAAGCTGACAGTTGTATGGGTGCCCCCTTGTAGGTAACTAACTGCTTTTCTCTTGCTGCTTTTAAGATTCTCTCTGCCTTTAACCTTTGGCATTTTAATTATGATGTGTCTTGGTGTGAACTTGTTTGGGACTTTCTGCACTTCCTGGACTTATATGTCTATTTCCTTCACCAAGTTAGGAAAGTTTTCTGTCAAATTTTAATTTCTGTCAAATTTTCAAATTTTAATTTTTTACTGTCTCTCTCTTCTCCTTCCAGTTCTCCCATGATGCAAATGTTGATACTCTTGAGGTTGTCCCAGAGGCTCCTTACACTATCCTCATTTTTTTGGATTTTTTTTCCTTTTTGTTGTTTTGATTGGGTGTTTTTTGCTTCCTTATACTCTAACTCACTGATTTGATTCTCAGCTTCATCTACTCTACTGTTGATTGCTGTAAATTATTCTTCATTTCAGTTAGTGTCTCCTTAATTTCTGACTGGTCCTTTTTTATGCTGTTGAGGTTCTCACTAAGTTCATTGAGCATCCTTATAACCAGTGTTTTGAATTCTGCAACTAGTAGATTTTCTCCATTTTGTTTAGTTCTTTTCTTGGAGTTTCATTCTGTTCTTTCATTTGAGACATGTTTCTTTTCTTCTCATTTTGGCAGCCTCTTTGTGTGTTTTTTTTCTATGTATTAGGTAAGCTGCTATGTCTCCCAGCTTGTTAGAGTGGCCTAATGTAGTAGGTGTTTTATAGGGTCCCTGATCACCCAAGCTGGGCACTCGAGGTGTGCCCCGCACCGTGTGGGCTGTGTACACCCTCCTCTTGTAAGTTGAGCCTGCCGATCAACTGTAATGACTGGCTACAACCACCTACCACCATCCTCTGACCCACCATGGAAGATCACCCCACAGAACAGGACTTATTTCAGCAGGGCTCTGGTGCCCGCTGAGTCCACCCCTTGAGTGCGTTGTTTATGGAGGTGGTTGGGTGGTGGTGCTTCAATGTGCTCTGAAGCTGTCCACTTGGTACACTCTGGCTCTGGGGCCTCCCAGAAGGTGCAGGTCGAGGTCATCTGCCACCTGTGTTCTGTCCAAGGCCACCTGGCATGAGCTACAAAGCGATCTGCCAATGGCTGCTCCTTGTGCTGGGCTGAAGGTGCCCAGGCAAGGCCAAGCTGCTAACCAAGGCTGGCTACTGCTAGTGCCAGGCCTGGGGCCACTTAGTGAGAGGTACTGTAGATGCTGAGGCCAGATGCTGCTTGTTTGAGAAATTTTAGGAAAATCTGAAGCATGAGCCAAGACAGGCCATTTTTATGGAAAAGCCACTGGAAACCGTTTGGGTGGGCACCAAAGTTGGGTGGGCCAGGGCCTCAGGGAATCACCAGAGCAGGTGCCAGTCTGCTGGCTCTGCGTGGGGAGGGCTCATCAAAGAAACAATGGCTTCTGTCAGCACCTCTGTCTGGGAGAAAGCTGTCCCTCAGCTCTTGCCCTGATGCCAGACAATTCAGTTCATCCTTCACCACCCGTGTGTCTCTGGTACCGTCCAAGCTGCTGCCTCAGTGCTGGAGCTGAGAGAGAGTGAATCTGAGTAAGTGCTGGCTCTTTAAGAGGAACTGTCTAGGGCTCAAGCTGCCTCAATGCCTGGTAGTTGTTTTTTTAAATCCTCACTAGTTTTTACTGCCAGAAGTTATGGGGACTTCTCTTCTTGGCACTGGAACCCTGGGCTGGTAGGCTGGCTGTGGGGCTAAGACTCCTTGCTCCTCAGGAGGAACCCCTGCAGCCAAAATATCCTTCCCAATTATCACCCACCACATGTGGGTGTGAGACCAGCTTGTTCTGTTCTCCACCCCTCCTACCAGTCTCAGTGTGGCTTCTTCTCTAATTCCCTGTTTGTAGGGCTTCCATTCAGCCAGATTTCAGGCAGTTCTGAATGATGGTTGTTCTGTAGTTTAGTTGTAATTTTGATGTGGTTGTGGGAGGAGGCAAGTACCACGTTTACCTACACCACCATCTTGACTGGAAGTCACCAATTAATTCTTATAAATCAGAATCCTGTCATCAGTTTAAAAAGACCACACAAAACATCTAGTTAGTACCTTACTACTCAAGGTGTAGGTCCCCAACCAGCAGTATTAGCATCTCAGACCCCACCCTAACTGGAATCTGCATTTTAACCGGATCCCAGGCTCCCTGAGCATATTAGAGTTTTAGAAGCACTACTGTGGCTCATCCCCCTCAGATGCTTATGTAGGAGGAGTTCTAGTTCAAGTCCAAGCCAAGCTGACCCTAAGAGTCAGGCCAGAGGACCAGTGGGGTAGGTCAATCAGGAGTGTATGCACATTGGGCACTGGTCCCCCCCTTGTCTTAAAGGAAGAGACTCAGGAACTATTTCACTAGTCTTTCATCCAATAATTTATCTAGCACCTCCTGTGTATTCTCAGTAGAATGACAAAGTCAATATAAGATACAGTCCCGGCTCCCAAGGAACATACAGTGTGGGAGGGGAGATGGAGAAGTCAACAGACATTGCAGTGTTAATGAGTGATGGGAGGACAGGGTGCCCTGGGAGCACAGCTTTCTCAGACGTTGAGAGAGGACATGGATAGCTTCCTGCAGAAAGTGGTGCCACAGCTGAACCCAACAGGATGAGTAGGATTCGGAAAAGTGGTGAAGCTAAAGGAATGGTCTCCAGACTGAGGAAATAGTATGTACACAGGCTAGTGTGGAAGAGAGCAGGCTAGTGTGGGAACCACAGGGAAACTAAACGGGATGGTGAGAGATGAGGGCTGGACAAGAAGGTGGGGTTCAGATCATGTCAGAGATGATTTGGGGGACTATATTAAGGAGTTTAAACTTTAATCTTGAGGCCGATGCATGAGAAGAGGAGCTCTTCTAAGGACTAACAATCCCCGCCTCTCTGATTGGAGTCCACACGGGCAGTTTCCACGTCAGTTTCCACATTAGTTTCTGGCTTACCTGGCTTCCCCTGGGAACTAGGGAGAGAGGGTTTCTAAAGAGTCAGCAAACCAAAGGAGCCGTTTGCTGAAACCCCTGGAGGACAGTGGGAATAGGGGTCCGTTCTCCAGGTGCTGGGCGCTGGCAGGAGCAGGGGGCAGCCCAGTGTTTGTGGGAGGTGGCACACTGACAGGTGCTTCCCCTCAACGGTGTGCCCTTGACAAGGACAGCAACTGTAGCAACGCTGTGGAGTGAGGGCAGCAAAGGCGAAATCTGCAGATACTACCGGGTGGGGTGGCTGAGACAGCGGTGTGGGTGAGCAGACATGGGCACCTTTATGGGACGCCGAGGGAGAGAGCGAGGGTCTGGAAATTGCCGGGTACAAATAGGATGGGGGGTGAGGGCAAGAGTGAAAACCCCTCTGC